CCCGGCAGGTGCCCCCAGGACTGTGGCCTTCAGGACCGTGGCCCCCAGGACCGTGGCCCCCAGGCGAGGGCAGCCTTCGCCAGGACCGTGGCCCCCGGGCGAGGGCAGCCTTCGCCTGCTCGCTCACTCCTATGCCCCGGAGCCTCCGAGGCGCCCGCCCCTTGGTGTTGAATAAACCTGTTGAATAAACGCAGCTCCGCCCTCAGCTGTGGCTGGAGCCACCTGCCCGCCATCCCTGCGCTCCCTTTACAAGTGGCCCCCGCGATCCTGTCCCACAGCCCAGAGGAGCCAGCCCTGACTGAGCCTGGGAGAGAAAGGCCACAGCGAGCTCACCCAGTGGCTGAGGGTGGATGGAACAGGAAGCCAGGAGACTCCTCAGATAGCGGGAGCGGGAAGCCATGTGGCTCAGTGAGTCGCCATTGTCCCCTGGCCTGGGTCGTCAGGCTCCCCTGCACCCGAGGGGACAAGCGCTGCTCTGGAGTACCTCGGGGCGGAGGAGTGTTGGCCCCGTGAAGAGACGCGGGTTCCGGCTGCGGCCTGCCGTTAACTGGGCGAGCGCCCACCTCGTGGCACCTCGGCTTCTGGTTTCTCCACCGGAAAAACGGAAACTGATCAAACACAAGACCTGCTTCTAAATGATGTTTATATAGAAGGTCGAAAGAGGACGTTGCTGGATTTATTTTTGCTTGGTTTTGGTGCTTTTATTAGCCGACTCTGTACTTTTCCGGCGAGCATCTGCTGCGTGGCCTCACGTGTGGCTCGAGTGGTCGGTAGAAATGCAGCATTTGTGGGGGGCGCAGGATTAGGAGGGTCGGATCCACTGCTCTCAGGCTGCAGTTCAGCATGGCTCTGCGTTTGCTCCCTCCCTTCCACTCGACAGCACACAGGAACCTCCACACGCGTGCAAACGTGTGCTGACCTCACCTGGGGGTCACTGTTCACCACTCAGGTTGAGAGTCGTGTCTTGTCTGCCTTCCCTTCAGCAACAGTCAGACAAACCAACAGCTCTGTGGGCACCTTCGCGTTCTTTGGCTGCTGCACCAGCACCCACAAACGGCCCCCACAGCTCTTCAGGCCGGAGAGCTGACGCCAGACATGGGGGCTGCGCCCCTTCCGAGGAGTCACGGGAAGGCGCTGTCGCCTGGACTTCCCCAGCGTCTAGAGGCACCCACATCCATGGCTCCAGGTGCCTCCCTCCATCTTCAGAGCCAGCAGTGGCACTGAAGTCCTTGTCACGTGCATGGCGCTGACACCGAGCCCCTCCCACTTACAAGGACCCTTGTGATTAACAAGGCCCACCCGGCTGAGGCAAGGCCCTCCCGCTACCTAGGTCAGCTGGCGAGCAAACTCCAGGCTGTCTTCAGCCTGACGCCCCTCGCTATGGTGAGGTGACACAGGCACGGGTCTGGAGACGGTGACACGGACCTCTTTGGGGGCTCGTTCTGGCATCCACACCCACCAGGATGCTTGGCACATTGTAGGCACACAATGCAGGTTTCTTAAGTAAAACAAAACAAATAAATACAGCTTTAAATTCGTTCACAGGCTATTGAATCGACCTGCTCTCGCCGTATTGTCTTATGAACATGTGTTATTTTCTGTGTTTAAGACGTCACTTTTCCTCTAACTTAAATCTCTATGACAGTTGCCAAAGTTTCCAAAGACATAGCTTCTTGTGCGTCCTCAGCGCAGACCGGCAGAACCTCAAGACACGTGCAGTCTCGGCGTGACGACTCAACGACCAGAAGGCAGGCCGCCACGTCAGAGCCGAGCAGCAGCGACGTGGCGGGGTCCGAGGGCCCATGTCGGCTCCCGCATGCCGCAGCCTGACGCTGAGCCCACCCCTCAGCCTGGCAGACAAGGCCGGGCCCAGTCGGTTAAAACCGAGCCGTGTTGGTCGGCAATGCAGCTGGCGCCATGCCTGCGAGATCTGCCTTCTCCTTAGAGCCCATCTGGAGGTCGCCCTCTGGGTCCTGACATTCGTCCCACAGTCACAGCAGGGTAGGACGTGCACCCTGGGGCCCCGAGAGCTTGGCCGAGATGCAAACTTGGAAGCTGCACAATTGTAAGTAGGCTGACGGCAGGCATTCTGCGGTGCAAATCGGAAGGAAGAAAAGCCGCTTCGGGCTCCGTGCGCAGAGTCCTCGTCCAGCAGGCCGTGGAAAGCTGGAGACGCTGTGCACACAGAGACCAGGCCCAGGTCCCTGTTGGGGGGAGGCAGAAGCAGCAGGCTGGAGTCGTGAACCTCTGACATTGTCCGCGACAGAGGGCAGGGTGCGCACCCGTCCGCTGCTCGGGGGCAGTCCGTAGCTTCTCGAGGGCATAACGTCCACTCATGAGATACCAGGGGAGGATGCTCAGATGGGGCACCCACGCGGCTCGCTCCAGCTTCCGAGCCATCAGGAGAGTTCCGTTTCTTGGGCCTTGGCTCAGCCTGCCCGAAGCACGCGCTGGCTAGAGTCAGCAGCAGCGTCAGACGTTCCATACCCAGATCCAGTGTCGGGAGGCAGATGACAAGAGAAAGGGAAGCGGCTGGGGGACACGGCACGGTCACCGAGCGCCGCCCTCCCGGCTCCCGCTCGACGCCTCAGCCCAGGTGTGGAGGCTGAGCTCGCTCTGCTCGGCCGAGGTTCTGTTGGCAGGACGCGCCTCATCCACCTGCCGTTGGCCGAGGCCTGGCCAAGGGGTTGCTGCCCGCTCCTGCCACCTGCTTAGTCCAGGGGCGTGGGGGCTCACGGGGCTGGCCGACATCACTCGCTGCGGTGCTATTGTGAGGAGGCTGTGTGGCCTGGCAGCAACCCAGAGCCATGGCACAAGCCGACAGGGCCAGGCGACAGGCTCCTGACCACAGGAAGCTCGCACCTGGTGACGGAGCCCGACGTGCCGGTCAGGGCGTCCCCTGCGGGGTCTCTGCCGCAAAGAGGCCGGAGCACTGGGCAGCGCAGGCGGGGACAGCTCACACCACTGGGGGCTTAGCAGGGCGACAGTCATTGGACAGTCTGGGTAGTGGTCAGGGCCTGCCTTGCTCATCCAGCCCTCGCTCAAAAATATGGACATAATCTGCTTCTGCCTCCCCGTGCTCCGGCCGTGGCCAGGCTGGTTTTCGTGAGCTAACGTTTTACTTGCGAAGGTTCTTACTCGTGCTGTAGTTAAAACTGTCCGGAAGTTACACGGACGAGGTGTTAACAGCTTAGCGCTCGTCAGTAACACGTCACCCTCTGTTGTCTCAAGCAAACCGTGATACATAGACCTAAAACAACATAGCCCTCCGTGACTTGTGTCCGGTTCTTCATGCTGGGGTATGACGAAGTATTCCCCGTCCCCGACAGCCCACAGTTAGGTGGGGTGCAACTTTTGGAGGGTGAATATTTTCTCCAGTCTTCCCATCCTTGGGACTAAGCCAGGCCTCTGGTAGCCACTGGTGTGGCGACAGCCTCCCAGAGTCCAACAGATGAACCAAGCTGGACACAACCTCACACCCTCTCCAACACCTCCACGGGCTATCTCGCAGGGCGAGCAAGAGGGGAAGAGAGGTTAGCACGCAGGCGGCACGCGAAGGCCCACGCGGTCCCTCAGACGCGGCGCCTTTGGTGTGACAGTCTGGACCAGCTGGCCTGGCATGGCGAACACCAGCTTGGTCACCACACTGAGTGACAGGGTGCATGGGAGGGGCAGCTGGTCGAGGGCCACAATGAGTGACTCAGCAGATGCCTGGTCCCACGCAGCGCTGGCCCAGCAGACAGGACCTGCCACGTGTCCGCGGGGCGCACCTCCTTCTCTGCTCTCTGCCAGCTGCTTCTCTAGGCCTCACCTGGCTCGGGCACAGCGGAACGGGAAATGACACTTGGATTCCTTGTCCGCAAACTGGGGATCCTAAAGCCCTTGCAGGCCTGTCGTGAGGGTTAGAGGCGATTTATGAAAAGCAACGTGCCTGGCACAGACGCCGTCATCTACGAACGCCTGCTGTTCCCCTACTCCTGGGTGGGACAGCCGGAATGAGGCCAGGCCACCAGCCAGCGTCCCCACAGCCAGGAGGCCACGAGCGTAACCCGTCCTCTGTGTACACAAAGGGGTAGTCCGCCTCAGCTGAGCCGGCTCCCTCCGTGGCCGACGGTCTCGACCACGACCGGCCTGCCCGGCACTCAGCAGTGTCCGCGCGTCATGAAGCCGTTTGTGACAGACACAGGCCTTGGTGCTGGAAACACAACTGAATAATTTTTATGATTTTGTAGGTTCACAGGCGGCTTCTTCTCACTGTGACTGCACATGAAGGAAGGGGTGTTTTAAGAAGGTCCCAGATCCCATGGGGCCTCTAACCTTGTGACCTCATCACCTCCCAGGCTCCCTCTCCTAACACCATCAACAAGTGAACTTGGGGTGGGGGTTCAGACCACAGCAATTGGTAAGCATTTGAGGAAGACGATTCTGCTTCAGTGTCAGGTAGGTTCAGTATCCCTTAGCCACCTCCTTTAAATCCTGACCCTTTACCTGCATAAGGTGGGAGTCTTGGCTGTTTCTCTTACCTCACCTCACGCTCCCTTCTGGGTTCAGTTAATATTCCTTTCACAAACAGAGGCCCGGGAAGAAATGATAATCCTGGAATCTGAGAAAAGAAAGACGGTAGACAAGAGATAAGCAAGTAGGTGAGCTCCTGGCCGCCCCGACAAGTCAGTGCAAGGACTTCTCATGGAAGTCGGCGAGATATTTTTTCCCTTTTTAGAGTGTCTATTAAGCCAGCTCCATCAGCCTGTCAATGTTTGTCAAAACGAATTTCCTCTGTAGCTGCTCCAAGGGTGATTCTGAATGACTTCACATCTCACCAGATGGTCATTTGTCAACCACTGAATGCTGTTTACAAAGGCTGTTAAGTCTCCACTGGCCCAGGGAATTGCTCAATTGGTACAATGCACTGCCATTAGCTTCCAGTTGGCAGAAGCTGCAGGAGCCAAACAATCGTCATTGACTAAAGCATAAAATAAAAACGGTGTGTGCCGTCACGCCCCGCGTGGTTTAACGCCCCCTTTCTTAAGGACCTTATATGCCTTTTGTGCAGATGTGTGATGCCTGCCACTCAGTGCTGGTGAGTCCTCTCTGCCTCTGCCAGGAAGCAGCTCGAGGAGACAGGGCCTGTCGCAGGTCTGCGGAGCCTGAGAAGGAAGCCCTGACATCGATTGGGTTCAGCTCTGACTCCTGTCTTGGCTGTTGGCTTAGGTTGGTCTGGAGATTTGGTCCCCGGGTGTCATTTTTCATGTACAAAACAAACGATAACAATAGCACCCACCCCCAGGTCATGACCGCCCTCCCCCCCTTCCAGGCCTGAGGATTCAATGAGAGGACACAGCTGGTGCTCAGGGAGTGTGAGTATTGCTGAGGCCCCAGCAATGATCCCCCCTTTCTATATACAGTGCCCTAGAAAACATTTCACCATCATTTCATCACCTGCCTGGCACGGGCCAAACGCCTTACCCATTAACTTCGCGTGGGAGACAATGAAACCGAGCCAGACCTCAGTGGAACGCGGCGCCGTCTGCTCACCCTTCGGAAGCCACTGTCCTCACCTCAGATGTCTTCTCCCAGTCTGAACTAACACCCTCCAGGGTGCAGAATGCGGTGCCTGCTCTGGTTCTGGTAGTGCCTGGCCTTTCTCTCCTGTAACTTGGTAGGTTGTCTAACAGCATCTGTCAACACCGTTTTGTAGTGGTGCACTTCTGGTCATAATTGCGACACACTTCTGTGGGTGTGCAGAAACCACGGTGTTCAAACTAAGTGGCCGTGGGTTACAGTAACGGCTGGAGTAGGGCCTTCCGTTCCCTCGTCACGCAGAAACCCCAGCGAACCGCATTACAGGGAGAGTCTCCAGTTTGCATTGTTTCATTTAGATAAAAAATCACTGCAAACATTATAATTGTGAAAAATTGCTTGTAACAAATCTCACTATGACAGTGATGTCACGACACCGAGCTTGGGAACCACGGTCTCTACTTCTAACTTGACTTTCAACGTCTAGGCAGTTCTCACCGGATTGTGTTATAACAGGTTTAGGAGCAAATTGTCAGTTGGTATTTCAGACTCTGAAACGTGTTTTCCCATAAGCAGTGTAATCAAACATAGCTGGGTTCTCAGGCTTTCCTACCACAGACAGCCACCCATGATGAGGCTGAAGGGGGCTGGAAGTCCACGGTGTCACTGCCTGACTCACCTGGGAGTGCCGGGAAGAAAGGTCATTGTAGGCGAAGGTGGGAACCAGCCAGGAGGCAGGGAGGCCTCAGGCAGGGGGAAAGCCAGGTAGGAGAAAGGTGAGCACAGGCCAGCTAGGAGAAAGGTGAGCACAGGCATTTGGTTGTTACTTTTCAAGGAAGTGATTTTGTACTGCTGCTCAGAGCCATGCATTTCATTCGCTTGCTAAGATAAACACTGGACCCACCATGTAAACGTTTCTTTCATTTCCCTCGCATTTATTTTCTTCCTCTTCTTGGGTGTGAGTGGTGAATTCTTGGACCAGGGTTTCAGGAACTGGAGGGCCTAGAAAATACTTTTTAAATTTTTATTGTGGAAGATGTCAAACATACACTAGAGCGATCAGTAATGCAGAACCCTACGTGGGGACTATCACCCTTTGTAATGGTGATCAGCTCATCGACCATCTTCCCAGTTTAACACAGCGATTTCCATGTCCCCCACCTGGCGTTAGGAGAGTTTTGTTCTGTTTGGTGGATTCCCGGAAGAAGGACTTTCTTATTCTTCCGCCAAGTGTTCCGGTCATGCATGGATGCTGAATTTCATCAAATACTTTCCTTGCATGCTTGATAACATTTATTTATTTAAGTTTTTGTGGCGATGTTCATGAGTGAGGCTGGCATATAACCTGCCTTTCTCGCGCTGCGCTTTCCGGGTTGGGGAGAGTGGCGGCCCTCGGCTCCCGCAGACGCGCTTCAGTGGAGTTCGCTGCGGGCCCATTGCGCCCCGCGGCCACAACCGCGGCCCCCGAAACCCCGAGATCGCAGATTCTCTGAGATCCTCGCACGCCCAAGACCCTCGACTCCCCGGACCCCCGAAATCGCCGTAGACCCCCGGATCTCCAGGACCCTCTGAGATCCCCGAGCCCCGAGTCACGTGCCCCGGAGCGGAGCGGGGCGGGGGCAGCACAGACTCCCAGGGCGGCAGGGACTGAACCTCCGCGCGGCCCCTCCCTGCTGTCCGCGCCGCCCAGCCCGCCGGCCCTTTGACCCCTGTCAGGAGGACCTCCGGCCGGGCGGGGGCGCTGTGCGAGGCGGAGGCGTGCGAGGGAGGCGCAGGGAGCGCCCGGAAGTGACGCTATCGAGCGGAAATCCCGCCCCGTTCTCTGCGGGAAGTTCCGCTCACTGGCTTTCGTCCCTCGTGGCCGACCGCCGGCATGGCGCACTACAACTTCAAGAAGATCACGGTGGTGCCCTCCGCCAAGGTAGGCGCCGGGGGCCTTCGCTCTCGCCTTCCTCCTCGGCCCCGCCTGGCTCCGCCGCCAAGGCCACGTTCTCTGGGGATTAGGGCCCCCCGGGGCCGGCGGTGCCCCAGAGCGGCGGGGACGCGCCTCAGGTTAGGGTCCTCCCAGACGACACGGGTCCCGCCCCGAGAAGAGGAAGGGAGTCGGGGGAAACTTCGGGTCTCAAGTACCGTTGGAACCGGCCCCTTGGGAGTTCACAGAAGCTGGTGGACGGAGGAGGTGGAGACCCCAGGCCGGACGTCGGGCCCCTCCCGGCGCCGACGGTCCTGTGGGCCTCTGACCGCTGGTCCGTCTGCAGGGGGTCCGCGCACAGCTCTGCTGTCCTCGATCACCTTACGTACCCTAGGGAATTGTAAACTGGGTTTTAGTTTTACCCATTGTTTCATGCACTTTCAAAGTCAGAGATGCACAAATTGGGATTGTAGGGTTCTGTCTCTTTTAAGTATTTTTTTCTGATCTATGCTTCAGTTGTATGACTACTTAAGTTTCAGAAGTATTTGGAAATTAAGATAAAAGGAAGTTTGGGATAAAATTTGTTTCAACAGCCATTTATAGTGTTCTTAGATGTTAGTCTAATAGCATCTAGAATAACCTTCCGCCTGGCGGAAGGTTTCAAATAAGTGAATGAAAAGTAGACTTTTTGGTGTAACTCTGCCTCATGTTTTTTAATTGCAGGACTTTATTGACCTGACATTATCGAAGACTCAAAGGAAGACTCCAACAGTTATTCATAAACATTACCAGATCCATCGCATTAGACATTTTTACATGAGAAAAGTCAAATTCACTCAACAGAATTACCATGACAGACTGTCACAGATTCTGACAGATTTCCCCAAATTGGACGTAAGTGACTCTGGGGGCCACAGATGGTTATGTAAATGTGAACCTTCAGATAACTGGTGTTTACCAGTTGGGTCTACTCATCTGACAGATAGTCAAGGAGACAGAAAATAACTGACTCGTTAAAGTTCACTTAGTGAGTTAGTGGCAAAGCTGGGAATGGAACGTAGGGTTTTTGATTCCTTACGTTCTTCCTTTCCCCCAACCCAGCCCCATCTAAGAGGTCACAGAGCTGCCTCTGGAAGCTCTGCGGCCTCAGCTTGCACGGGCCAACCCAAGTTCTCCAGGCTGTGACCGGATCCAGGCCCAGGCCCTGGTGGCTTGTCACCTTGTGTGGCTTCCTCACCTTCCTCTTCTCAAAGCTCCTTTTCCTGCCCAAGTTGGGTCAGTAGCCTGAAGTCTGCTGTTGTTTATGGACTAGTTGGTTCGTCAGCCGATGACGGTCAGTTCAGCGCTGGTCGCCTTCCTCGTCAGTGAGAAGAAATCACGTGGGGAATGCTCTGACTTCTCCATTAAGCCAGGCAGGTTGAACTCAGTACTGCTGCACAGTGCATTTTTCCCATTTATTTAGCTGCTGTAGAAAGCTAGCTGGACACTGCCTGTGGGATCCCTGTGTAGGGTCACGCGGTGGTGAAGGACATGGGGCTAAAGGCAGTGAGAATCTAAACTGCCAGTGCCCCACAGTCATCCTTGCATATCGGTGAAGGAGAGAGAAGAGGTTGATTTATGTGACAAGAATTTCTTTTGTATTTAAAAAGATAACGATAGCTTACTCAAAGAAAAATACAGATGTGTTTAGAAACCAAAAGTTTCTGCCAGTGGACAGGCACATGTTCTCTCTCTGGGACCTGATACAGGCGCCCGGTAGATGCGTGTTGAATGGGCCGATCCTTTGTTGGGAAATGGAGGGTCCATGGGAAAGGCTGAACGAGACCCAAGAATGAGACTGTTCTAAACTAATTCGATAGTAGGAAGCACATTCTGATCTAATTAATAGTGAATTTCTGTGGTCATAAGTTTTATATTTTTCACGTTTGGCATTTTCATTTTGTATATATTACAGGTTCAAATTTATGAGCATTCTATTCCTGTTTTAGGTTTTTTTAGTGTCATCTGAAGATCATTTTAGAGTAGAGGGTTGGAGTAAGCTATTCGTGGAGTGATTGCCATGTCTCGGGTACTGTTCTAGGGACTAGAACACAGCAGTAGTAAAAGAAGTCCCTGTCCTTGTCTTGGGGGAGATTGTGAACGTGCAGGTACCTGATGTGCCACACATGAGTAAGGGGGGCAGGGAGTGCCTGCGCGGGTTTGTCACAGAGGCCTGAAGGAAGTACGGTGGTGAGCCCGCGGCTCCCTGGGGAAAGCTAGTGCAAAGGACGCAGGGGTGGAGCCGGGTCAGTACTGGGAGGTATAGTCTGGGGAGTGGGGGACTAGAGTTCTGGGGTTTGGCGGAAGCCTTTGGAACTGAGCCTGCCACTTGGCTCCTCGAGGGTGCCTGGCCTGTGGGGGTGGGTAGCCCAGGTCTGTGTGTGGCTTAGCTGACTGGAGGTGGCGAAGGGGTTGAGAAGTGTTTGGCCTGGAAGGGCGAGAGGCGGCTCGTGGAGTAGGCCTGGGCCCTGGACAGCAGCTCCACTGTTCCTGAGGCGGGAGGGCTGCGCTGTGAGGACCATGTGAGCATTTGTGTGTTCATCTGAGACGAGGTGAGGTGTCTGGCCTGGGGATGGGGGGACGGGACTTGGAGACGTGTAGGTGTGCGAGCCTACACATACTCCCCCAGGAAGCGAGTGTGGGAAGGGGGCTCTGGGGGCGCGAGTGAGCCACAGGATCTGAGAGGGGAGTGGCCAGATGCCAGGGCGTGGACGCATCAGGAGGGGCTGGCCAGCTGTCGTGTGGGAAGAGCTCTGCGGCATAGAGGGATAGCTGGAGGTCACTGGTGTGAGCTGTTCCAATGGCATGTTAGAACCCACTAGCGTGGGTTCACGGAGATGGTGGAGGGACACGGTACCTCTCTGGGGCATTGCCAAGGAGGCGGGCAAAAGGAAGGAGGGGTTGCGGCTTCAAGGGAGTGTCACAACTTTTTAGATTTTGGGGGAAATGACAGCATGTTGTAGGCTGATGGGAATGGCCAGGTGGAGAGGGAGGACTGCAGCCCAGTCGTTGAGGTGTGAGGGGTGGGGTCTGATGCACAGATGGGGACGTGGCCTTGTCTGGGTCTGAGGACAACTGCTGTAAGGAGGTAAGGGAGCATTCTCGGTACAGCTCTGGGTGGGTGGAAGTGACAACCGGGTTGGCTTCCCTGTGACTGCCTGTGTCCTCAGAACAGACAGCTATTGGCCAGGAGGGAGAGCTGGGGATGGGGCAGTGGTGTGCGCTGTCTCCCCAGGAAATGATTGAGTGTCATTTACACAGAGGGGTGACAAAACTATTGCCAGACTGACCCCTCGCTTTTCTCTTACAGGACATTCATCCTTTTTATGCGGATTTGATGAACATCCTCTATGACAAAGACCATTACAAGTTGGCTCTGGGACAGATAAACATTGCCAAAAACTTAGTAGACAAGTAAGGTATTGTCTTGATACGTTATATTTTATATTGTCAACAGTGAAAGGAACTTATGTGATTCTTTTCATTTCTTTAAGTGTTGCCAAAGATTACGTGCGGCTCATGAAGTATGGGGACTCCCTGTACCGCTGCAAGCAGCTGAAGCGCGCTGCCCTGGGGCGGATGTGCACTGTGATCCGGAGGCAGAAGCAGAGTTTGGAGTATCTGGAGCAAGGTACGGGTGGTGCGTGAGCAGAAGCGGTCTGGCATGTGTTCTGTTCAGGTCCTCGGTCCTCGTTGACAATGCATTTTTGAAATGTTTTTGTTTTTTAGAGAGGAGAGGATCAAGTTAGTTTTTCCAACCCAACCTATAAGAAATTTAATAGGTCAGTTATTGAAAAAGCAGTTAACACAGTATTTACAAATTAATAGTGCTATCAAGAAAATCTGTGTATCATTTTTAGTAGATAAGGCATATACATTATAAACCATGGGAAAATGCCAAAAATATATTTAAAAGTAGAATAATCCATAGTTTCATCTATCATTGACTTTTTTCACTGACTTTAATTAGTTTTTAAATGCTGTTTTTATAACATATAATAGCATCAAACAGCCACTCCAGTTTTGTCACCTGATAGTTTTATATAATAGGACAGTTTCTGAATTAACATGATAGGTTTTATTGAAACATTTCAGTGACTTTTCACATGCGTGTATTTGCGACAAGATATCAAAACTTGGCTGCTGTGCCAGTGCCTTGGACGAGCTCTTTGGTCTTCAGGGTGGCCCGGTGGTATCACTGGTGCTGTGTGCACTGCAGCCAAGGCTCCCAGAGCAGGGATCCCGAATCCCCGGGATGCAGACCAGTACAGGTCCTGGCCCGTTAGGACCCAGGCTGTGCAGTAGGCGGGGAGCGGCGGGCGAGCGAGCAAAGCTCCATCTGTATTTATAGCTGCTCCCCAGCTCTGGCATCACCGCCTCAGCTCCGCCTCGGATCGTCAGGCACTAGATTCTTATAGGAGCACCGGTCCCTGGTGCCACAAAGGCTGGGGAATGCTGGCCTAAGGGGAGTTGTCACGTGGAGACGGCCCTCTGTCTGGCCAGGAAGATATGGCGTGATCTGATCACTTGACTCAGTGTTTTTCCGAATGCTGTTTCATGTACAAACAGCATTCGGAAAAACACTGAGTCAAGTGATCAGATCACTGAGTCAAGCTGCGTGGGTGCTGCTGAGTCATGTGTTTGGGGCCCCACCCTAGACCTGTGGGGCAGGAACCATGCGGTGGGGCTGAGGGTAGGACTTGCACTGCTGTCCTGTAGGCCATGGCACTCTGCAACTGATGATGGGTCATTGTCTTCCTCATCGCTTATGTTGTGATGAGGGCTGTATGTGGGGGTGAGGGCCATACGACCACCAGCCTGGAGTGGGATGAAGCCAAGCAGGTTAGAGTTTCTGTGTTTGTCTTGTGGAATTAAGCACGTTTAATTTAAACTTCTCCCAGTGCGTCAGCATCTGTCCCGTCTGCCAACTATTGATCCGAACACGAGAACCCTGCTTCTGTGTGGGTACCCGAATGTTGGCAAATCCAGCTTCATCAATAAGGTCGGTCTGTCTCCAACGGTGACGCAGGTGACTGAGGACCTGCGGCCAAAGTGCTGCGTCCCGGCCGTGTGCGGTGGAGGGGTTGGCTAGTTTCTAGTTGGTAAAACACTATGGGCTTAAAACCCCCTATTCTCGAGAGAGGGTTGGTCCGTCCACACCTAGACGTGTTGCTTTCACAGTAACCATTTTTTTGGTTCTTGGGTGCAAATTTCTAAAGAATTTAAGATGTTTAAGTACATTTTTGTGAAAATGCGCTGTCAGCTTTCACATACACCGCTTGGTCCACGTGGTGGGAATGCTAAACCACCCTTTACATGCGTGAGTTTATTCATTGAGACCCAAGGGCACTCCTTAAGTGACATGGTGCTTCAGGACAGTCAGCTGACCTTGAGGGAACTGAGCAGAGTAGAAACAGCTTTTGAAACGTCACTTCAAACCGGCAGCAGCTCAGGTGCCAATAAAACAAATTGTATTTGTGTGGCTACTTGCTACCAAGAGCAGTTTTGCTTTTAGGCAGATCTGTGGGTTTTTATTTTGTCCCCAAGCCGTGCTGACATGGTGACAAACCGAAGCTGTGCAGTGCCCTAGCTGATGTTTCTAACGTTTATCAGCCGTGCCTTGGGGCCAAGATGGTGCCACTGAAATCAAGTACATTGAAATGGCGTAAAAATGAGTTTCTCAGTTACACTGACCACATTTCGAGAGATCGGGCAGCGTGTGGCCAGCAGCCCCCACATGGACAGTGCAGATGTAGGCCATTCCTGTCATCAAAGGAAGTTCCGCTGGGCTTAAGGGGTGACAGGAGCAGCTGGCCCGTGTCCTCCTGGTGACAGCCCTCCTTGCCTTTCTGACACTGGATTTAGATCCTCCCCGAGCCGCGGTGTGAGCAGTGAGTTGTCACCTATCCTCGCAGTTCAGCGGTGGCGGGCTCGTCTTGGGGTTTCTTTTACAAAACATGGAGCCGTGATTATGCTGCTTGAGAGGTAGTGAGGTGTAGAATTCCTACTTTTTTTTTGATTGGTTGCAGGTGACGAGAGCAGACGTGGATGTCCAGCCTTACGCATTTACGACCAAGTCTCTGTTTGTCGGACACATGGATTATAAGTACCTGCGTTGGCAGGTGAGAGTGTTCGCCTCTGAATGTATGGCAGACGTCCCGGTGTTTGTAGGGTGGGGCTGAGCCCTGTGGGCCCAGTATGTTTGTCCGGGTGTCGGTGTACCAGTCGGGAGGCCGAGGAGAGGGTTAGACTTGGGGTTGCAGAAGGGGGGTTCTCATTCCTCTGCTAGGGTCCCCGGGGGCAGCCAGCTACCAGGAAGGCTCTGCATTGTGTTAATGGTGGTGCTGTTGGTGGAAGTCCCCCGTCACCATCTCTGACCCACCATTAGAAGTGGCGTTTGCTAAACAACTTCAGCAGCATGAAGCAGTCTGTTCCCACAGGTCAGCTTAACCTGTGTAAGCAACGCAGGAGCGCCTGTCCCGTGGGCGTGCTGGCCAGCGAGTCCAGGCCCCTGCTCTGTGACGTCGCCGAGCAGACGGGCTCAGTGCCTCGCTGGCTCCCTAACGAGCTCTGCAGGCCGTGCCCCTCCTCTCCTTCGTGGCTTGGCTCTGTGCAGCCTGCATCTGTCAGCCGGTCTCGTCAGGGTGGCTTTGGGTGCGTGCCTGCCCTGGGCTGTGCTGGATGGCAGGTGTGTGAGCCCATGTGCGCCAGTGTGACGCTTGGACGTCAGGTTGTAGATACCCCGGGGATTTTGGACCAGCCTCTGGAGGACAGGAACACCATCGAGATGCAAGCCATCACGGCCCTGGCCCACTTGCGCGCCGCCGTGCTGTATGTGATGGACGTGTCCGAGCAGTGCGGGCACGGGCTGCAGGCGCAGCTGGAGCTCTTCCGGAACATCCGGCCTCTGTTCGTGGGCAAGGTGAGTGGCGGGCAGTGCCCCAGCCCCGCCTGCTGTGGGGAGGTGGCCACGACCTCACTGCCTGTGTTCTTCTGCAGCCTCTCGTGGTCGTGGCCAACAAGTGCGACGTGCGGAGGATAGCCGAGCTCCCCGAAGACAGCCAGGTGAGTCGCTCCGGCATGAGTCTGTCTGCCGGGTTTCAGATGGAGCTGGGAAGCAAGAGTCGTGCCCGTCGGTTTTCCCCGTCGCAGTCGAGGCCATGTCCTTGATGGGTTAGCAGAGCTGGCTTTATGAGGACTGTGTCAGTGGCTGCGTCTGAAACTTCTCGATTGCCGCGTGTTCAGAGGCTGGAAACATCCGTGCATGTGACCATTTGGTGCACGTAGCCCTTGGGAGACGTGCTCACATGGGAGGGGGCTGTCCTGGCACTGGGGCCTAAAGGGGCATGCAGCACAGGCCCTGGGCAGTCAGGGGCACGGCAATCCCTTCAGAATAAGTTTCGGGGTGGCAGGGGACTCTTGTGTTGCCCACATGCCTCTGCACAGTCTGGTGGAGTGGGCTGGGGACGGAGTGAATGCACAGGTATCTGACACTTCTCAGAACCGGCACCTGTCATGTCTGCTGCACCTCCAGGGGGCAGGGGTGGGGACTCTGGTTCTGCAGACAGAGTGGACACTGCAGCCCCATCAATGGTGTCTGCCAGGACCGGCGCCGTGACAGACTTTGCACTGGCACGGGAGTTCTCAGGCCATGGCCCGACCAGCAGCGTCGGCATTACCTTCCCGTGGTGACGTGTCCTAGAGGCGGGGCCCACCAAGTCACACGGGCCGGTGACCCAGTGGCCCGGGCTTGAGCGGCCCCCGGTGCTGGGCGCACGCTGGAGGTTGGGAGCCACTGTGGCGGGATGATGTGCTCGGTCTGGCAGTATCTCCTGAGCAGACTCAGAAGGCAGAGGAGGGTCTTGAGGAGGTGCACACTGCTGCCTGGCCCTCCTGTGCGATGCGGACGCCACTCATGGCTTGATGACATTTCAGGTTTTCAGACAGCCCTGCAGCTTCCTCGGGCTGTGCGGCCTGGTTAGGATTCGCTTGTCTCAGAGAGGACCAGGTACCTCTTGAGTAATCTCCGTTTTTTAGGTTAAAAGTGCTGGAGGTGGAGGAGGGGACAGTAGGGCACCAGGAAGGCCAAGGGACTGTCACGTGGAGGCTCGGGCTCTGAGGTCCATGGGCTCGAATCCGGCCTTACCGCCTGGCTGCGAGCCGGGGGGGCCACCTCTCTGGACGCGATAGTAGCAGCGGCGCCCTCGGGCTGTTCACAGTGACGTCGGGCAGGGACCCACGGGGTAGTGAGCGCTGTGGCGATGTTGTCTGGGTGGCGCCATCGTGGAGCCTGTATTTCCCAGTGCTCTGGCTTTGTTGGAGCTACATTGTTGGTTGCCACCCCATCAGATGTGGATGCTGTCATCTCGTGCTCAGGCAGGTGCAGGGAGCGTCTTACTCGGGTCCCATGCCAGTCTGTGGTGGCACTGTCTCTCCAACCCGGCGTCCCCAGGACCCGTGCTCTTTGTAGGAAGGGGTCTGACCTGCAGGGTGGACCCTGTAGTGGGGAAACGGCCCTTTCCAGGGCAGCTGAACAGATGAGACCGGTCGCCTGTGTTTGGTCGTGGTCACGGTCGCGGCTGCGGCTGGTGGCGGTGCACAGCGAGGTCCCTTCTCTTGGAGTGTGGCGGTTTGTGAGGCGTTGGACACATAGACGTCTCCGTGATGTTCTCGAAGGAGTTCTCATCGGCGCGGAGACCAGACGTGTTATAAAAAGTCAGTTTGAAACGTTCTTTAAAAAAAATTCGTCTCTTGATCTTCCAAGTTTCTTTTTGGAGAGTAAGATCTCTCAGAATATCCCAGAAAGCTTCTGGTTTGCTTGCAGTAGTCTGGTTGATTCTCCCAGTTATTTGTATTTTAGCAACCACCAAAGGACGTGGGGAAAAATAAAAAACTTTTTGGAAGACATCTTTTGAAAGAGTTAAGAAGTAAACGGCAGTGCCCATTGGAGAGGCGGTAAGATTTGTGTACAGAGACCTGGGAATAATGCGTGTCATTTTTCTTTGTATTCCCAGAAAATATTCATGGATTTGCAGGCTGAAGGATTTCCTGTGGTGGAGACCAGCACCTTGACAGAGGAAGGGGTCATTAAAGTGAAAACAGAGGTCAGTGTCGGGTGCTTTTCTGTCTTCCTCTGGCATTAGCGCGTCAGCCGCAGGACGCAGGCTTCTCTGCAGCTGTTGCCAGCACGAGCATTGGCAGTGGCACTGGCAGGGGCCTGTCCTCGTCCCACTCGCCCTGCCGAGGGTGGGTCCTTGAGAACACACGGCACTCCCTGTGTGATGCGCCCACTGCTGGCTCTTTCTCTTTCCCGCCTGTGTCCCTGTCTCTCTGGATCCTGTCCAGAAGTGGAAAGAAAAGTGGTTAGTGGGAGCAGCCTGAGGCGTGTCCTGATGGATGTCACAGGATTCTAACATTTTCGCTTCGGTATTTTTACCTGAAATAAAAAGAAAAGGCAGCTGATACATTTGGTTTCACTCCTGCTCAGTTGCTCCCAAGTCTTGAGGTGGGACGTGACTCGAGCCAGGGTGGGCCTCTACTGAGCGCTGGTCACTGGAGGGAGACAGGGCCAGGAGGGGACATGGGAGCGCTTGGGCAGCTCTGCAGGTGCTGCCTGTTCTGGAGAGTTTGAAGGAGGTTACATCCCTCCTGGAGGGTTGGGTCTGCCCTAGGGGACTTACTGGACCTTGGGAGCCCCTAGGACTTTTAGCAACCAGAAGACACTAATGAGCAAAAGTGTGGATCAGGTTCCAGACTTCTGGAACATACCCTAGTTCTGGGTCCCTCCCAGGATGGTGTGACAGGATGCCTTGTGACTCTGTGCTTCACGTTTGTGCTTTCTTAGGCTTGTGACAGGCTTTTAGCTCATCGAGTTGAAACCAAAATGAAAGGAAATAAAGTGAACGAGGTGCTGAACAGATTGCATTTGGCTGTGCCAAACAAAAGAGATGACAAGGTAAGGGGGCCTTTGTGGAGAGCCCTAGACCCGGGACTGTGGCGTTGCCAACATGGTGGACACGCATGTGCCTTCGTCCAGGGGCCTCCGGTCGAGAGAGAGAGAGAGAGAGAGAGAGAGAGACAGAGAGAGACAGAGAGACAGACACACACATACACACACACACACACGCACACACGTTTCACTTGTGGCCTTGAGTTTCTTTCTCAGACTGAAACATGCCACGTAAATCAAAGGTGACAAATGAGTATGAGAACCTACTCGTCACTACACCAGAGGCACTGTTAAGTCTTGTTCATTTTTCCGGAAAAATCGTTGCTACAAAAGCATATTTTTAAAAAAATTTCAAACACAGAAATATATTAAATTTTTTTTTTTTTTTTTTTTGCCATTACAGACAGTGCTCAAGTGACATCTTTATACACAGTTCTTCGTTTTTCCTTGAAAATAGATCTGTAGAGTGAATTTTAAGGTGTGGCATTGAAAATGCCATCGAGGTGTACTGCGCTGATGGCTCCCTGCACCGTTGGTGGCGGGTGTTGGCGTCTGTCAGTCTGGTCGATTAAAGGTGGTTAAAGACGCAGTGGTGATCACTTCGTCGCGTGTGCCAGCATCCGATTCTGACTTTGTATACCTGAAATGCATGTAACTTTGTGCCACGTTACACCACAGTTAAGCAAAGGTGCTTTAGCTGTGATGTATTCAACAACCAGTGCAGGGAGCACTTTTAATGAACTTTTCGGTTTTTTCATTTCATATTGACATCTGATTTTTATATTAAGGAAATCAGAATCTTGTATGTCCTATAAAACTTTTTTTTTTCCCGTTATTTGCCTCTTGATTTGAGGGGAATTTTTTTAGCCTTAAAAAATATTTTTAAACGATTAGCATGCATTGGTATTTTTTCTATGGCTGCTGGGCTTTGCGTCATGCATAGAGATGTCTACTGTCCATTCCAGAAATATTTCTTCTGTATTTCAATGGTTTAAATTTTTTTTTTAATTTTACCTGTTTTGAGTCAACTTTGACTCAAGTTTCGGGTTTATTTTGTTCCAGGAAGAGGATGGAAGTAGGTACTAGGCTCTGTTTTCCGCTGGCTCGTCATCTGTCACAGGTTTAGGTCTTTCTTACTCAGGGAGCTGCTCTGTTCTCCCGTATGGTTTTCTTTGTCAATGTTCTCGGCAATCGTGATGTTCACATCTTCTAAGTGAACTTTAGAGCCGGCTCGTGGGGCCTGCCCGACTTCCACACCCTCCGCCATCCCCCTAATCATCTGCTGGCATGTCGGTGGTCTGGGCATGGTTTTACATTTCCTCCGCAGATGGAGAGTTTGCTTCTAGTGCTTCGTTTCTGTGCTGCAGCAAGGCGTTTTGCTTGAACACTTCCATACTGTCTTCTCAGGAGAGGCCCCCTTTCATCCCGGAGGGAGTGGTGGCACGCAGGAAGAGAATGGAGACCGGGGAGCCGCGGAGGAAGAGGGTGGGTTCCTGTCGTCCTCACCAGTTCACTTGTGGAGGGCGGGGGCTGTGCGCGTGAGGGCTGGGGACTTAGCGCCTGGTGTCCACGCTGTAAGCTCTGAGGACAGGGCTGTGAAAGGTCCCTGCCTCGTGGGTGTGTCCCTCCAGGGGTCAGCAGGGGTTAGGATGGCTCTGCTGCCAGAAGTGGCGGGGGAAGGTTGTCCTTCAGGTCGGAGAGGTTATGGCACAGGGACGGGGCTCTGCAAGGTCAAGCTGCGACCGTGATTGTCGTGTTTTTTGTTGCAGGAACGAGATATTGAACTGGAACTGGGAGACGATTACGTGCTGGATCTTCAGAGTAAGGGCCGTGTGTCATAGCTGCTGTGAAACGCTCGTCGCACAGTGTCTCAGTGTGAGGGGCTGGCTGGGCTCTGCTGCCCCGCATCCTGCCAGTTCCTTAGGGGACGAGGTCCCGTGCTGGCGGGGTCCGGGCCCCCTGCCCTGAGGTTTGCTGTCTTGTCGGATGAAGGGCAGTCCGCGGCTTCCGTAGCACGCAGATGTGGAGCAGGTCGATCCTGACCACGGGCTGCTGTTCGTGCCTTTTCGCTTCGAGTGCGCCTTTCGATGTTCCTCTCCTCCTGGGGTCGCTTCGTCGCGTGGTGCTGATAGACCGTGGGGCGTCTAGAGTGGTTCATGAGCACATGCCTCGCTCACGCAGGGTCAGATACAAACGCTCCGCTGTCTTTACTGGGCGGCGCGACTCGCATAAGCCATGACTCGTTTTGGCTCGTGGTGCTTGAAGATGTTGAAAGTGGCTACAGACGTAACTTTTTTTTTTAATTTTAGAGTACTGGGACATACTGAATTTGTCCGAGAAACACGATAAGATACCTGAGATCTGGGAAGGCCACAACGTTGCCGATTTCATCGACCCCGACATCATGCAGGTTTGTGTGACTTGTTCTTGATACGGCCACTAGGGAATGGAAGCCAACTTTTGGCTCACCTGCATCTGTCACCCTCGTTCCTTTTATACCCACCGAGCCTCCCCGCCTCCGTTACCCCGCTCCTGCCTGGGGGTCCCGGAGGCCCCAGCGCTGCTCACCGGGCTCCACACTGCAAGCCACCCGCTCTCCTGCCCTCTGCGGCTCGGACGCAAAGCCTGTGGGTGGGCGCTGTCCTCACACAGGTCCTTGTCGTCGACAGGCTATGGCTGGATGTGGCATCTCCCTCCTGTTTTGGTCCTCTTCTGTTTTTTCCTAGCATGAGTATCTACACGTTTCTTTCATCTTTAAAAAACAAAAACCGTGTGTCTTCCTGTAGCGCTGTCCTATCATTGCTCAGCCAGGCCTTGCGAGAAGTAGAACTTTGTAACAGACACGTCCACCTCCGTTTTCTGTCTCCCCCGCCGTCCCACATGGAGTTGTTTACGCTCTGACTCCTGGTGTCTGGGGAGGGAGCCTTGGCGTCAGCCTCCTCCACTCTCTGTTCCCAGGTGCCCGCTTTGGACAGGCCGAGTTCTCTGCGGTCTGATTTACGT